TTCAAAGGAATGTGATTAGGAGGTAAAGAAGCATACCCCTTAAAGAGAGGTTAGCCTGCACAGATTAAGGTGACAACGCGAAAGGGACAGCCTCAAAAAATAAAAATCAATGCTGATTACCTGCCTCTCAAGTGTGATAAAATGTCAATAAACAAATATTTGCAGTAGGATTAAATATGCACGTCTCTTCCCAGTGGTTTCCTAGTAGACTGTTTCCATCCTTTTCTGTAACATACTGGTGTCAATAAAAGGGCAGTAGCCATTTTTATGTATGTTTCTCCATTGTCTTATAAACAGCTTTCTGGTGATTGAGGGATCACCAGATTTCGAGGTGAGGAGACCAAAAATGTTCTAAATATCAGAATTTCTGCTTTCTTGGTAAAAAATGTTTCCACATTGGTTTCTGTTAAGCACCCTGTACAACGTATGTGTTTAATGCACATTTGGTTCCAGGGAAGGTGACAGAATATTGGAACCCACCGCCCATTACCGTGACTCAATGAACCAGGGAAGTCAGAGTGAACAGAATAGCAAGATCCAGATAAAAGCTAGAACGTTGGCTGTGATAAAGGATGGAGGATGGAGAAGGAAATAACATGGTGATTTTGTGTGTGTGTGTGTGTGTGTGTGTGTGTGTGTGTGTGTCTTCATACAAAGAGTGAAGACAGTAGGTGGCTGGTTAAGAAGAGTGTTTTTATAAACGAGAGGCTGGGGCGAGGCCCAGTCCAGCTGAGTGATGGAATTGTCACAGAGTGACTTCTGTAGTCGTTCGAGTGAGGCAGCCGGTGATAATGGGTGTTTTCTTTCCTGTGCTTTTTAACCCTCTGGGTGAGTTGAAATCATTTCATGCATACGTATATTTCATCGGGAAAGGGAAACTTTCTGATTTTTATGGTGACATCTGGCAAGACTGAACAGTTATCTGGTGTGAAATGAACTCACTTCCCGGGTACCTAAGTACACTGGAGAACCACCTGTTGGATGGTGTGAGAACTGGGGGTTCAGCCACCCCGAGGGACTATCACAGTTCTCCCCTATAGTGCGGCCATTATCAGGAGACCATCCTGCCTCACAGTCAGCGCTGGGCTTGAGCAGCTTTGAAAGCAAACAAACTTCCTATTGTTGTCTGCAGATGGTAATTTCTAGAATCTGCTGGTAATTCTGTTGGGGAATGGGGTCCCCGTAGATTTGTATTAGGTGTTACCAAGAGGTAAACGATACGGAAGGCCATCTCAGTTTCCCGGACTAAATGGTTTTAAAAGCCTTTCATGGTGTTAAAGCATTTGAAGGGGGAAAAAAATATTGTGGGAAAATGTAATTCCACCCTTTCTTAGTGAAAACTGCTTCATAGAAGCAAGTTGTCAGTCAGTAATGAATACATCCCAGTAGCAGGAGATGACAACGGGTCTGTTTGAGACGAGAGCTGAGAGGGAGGCTGCCGCCAGCCCTTCCTTTGGCACCTGTCTAGAAAGTCTTCTCTGTATTATTATTGATCTTCTCAAGGGAGCATAACTCAGGCATTTTCCCCTCTGCATTAACAGGGCGATCAAATCAGATAGACTTATTTTTTTCATGTGTCATTGCTCTTTTGTTTTTCAATTACAGTTGACATACAATATTCGTTTCAGGCGTACAGCATAGTGATTGACATTTGTATAACTTACGAGGTGATCACCCCGGTAAGTCTAGCACCCACCTGGCACCATACACAGTTATTACACTATTATTGACTATATTCCCTGTGCTATACTCTACCTTCCCGTGACTGTTTTTGTATCTGGCAGTTTGTACCTCTTAATCCTTTCCCTGTTTTCACCCAACCCCCCTCCCATCTGTCAGTCATCAAAATGTTCTCTTATCTGTGAGTCTGTTTTGTTCATTTATTTTGTTCTTCAGATTCTACGTATAAGTGAAATCATAGGGTATTTGTCTGTCTCTGTCTGACTTTTTCACTAAGCATAATGCCCTCTAGGTCAACCCATGACATCGCAAATGGTAAGATTTCATTCTTTTTTTATGGCCTCGGCTAGGCTTTCAAGTACTTTCTCTAAGTCAGGCTGCTTATTTAATTTACATATCTCAGATGCAAACGTTCCATTTTTGGGAGTGCCTGTGTCGTGCAGAGGAGTTGTTAGCCTTGGGAAAAAGGATGTCATAGCTTACATTTTGATCACTCTCATGGTACATTATCTCCCATCTTCATTAAATCTTACACTTTTAGTTCAAAACTGTATTAGTCTGCATTTCAGTTAAAAACTAAGGAAAAATATATAGCCCTGATGGATGGCGTTGAGTGAAGGGTTAAATTCTAATAAATAATAAAAAGCATACAAATGGGATGTATGTGAATGTGTGTGTAGATAATGGCATACACACAAAGAAGCGTAAACTGCCATGAGTGTGAGTGGCACAGTGAGTCATCTGCCAAGAACTTAGACTAAGGTTACCCTCTGAGAGTTTAATTTTAAAGCCAGCCCATGAGACAGCCCAGAGGTATATAAAGTGATAGCCTGGGTTTCAGTCCTGCAAGATTTCCTTGTAACCTGGTTGAGTCTATGAAAACATCTAAGGAAAGAATAGGTCAACCAAAGAAATACAGGGGCAAGAAAGAGTCACATAGGCAAAAAATTGGCAGTGCCCATCCAAACGCTATTCAGAGGAGAGAGGAGCATTGGCCAAAACGTTAGGCTGTGACAGTTGCCTTGGCGAGGACATTTCTATTCTGAGGCAGGAGGCCGGGAACTATAGCCAACGGCGTAGGACTTTACTGGCAAGAGCACCCCACGGAGGAAAGGGCTGCGCCTTCTGCCGTTCGATATTTGATTCATCTAGGCGCCTTGTCCTGATTCCATCTTCACCAGTAACCTCCTCGTTTTGGTTGAGCTGCTGGTAGAGGTCTACCAGCAAGGAGAGCATGCACTGGTGGTCGCAGTGCACGTCCCCTGGCCTATGTGACATTGACATTGGTGGTTGTAAAATAATGAACTGGCCTTCTGGTGGTGTTACGTGTCAGTCTTGGGAGCTATGGTGGCGATGTGAGTCTGCCCCATGGGGTGGCTCTGCTTCAGGCGCTGGTGATAGCGAGTTTGTAAGAGAAAACTTTGGGTGGTCAGCGCGGGACCTGGGGGGAGTGTGATCAGGAAAATATATATGTGCAGTTGTTTGTTCCA